TAATAATAATAATCATCTTTATTATCTCTTTACAAAGGCGTTCCATTAATACTATATTCTTATGGCTAATCTGCTAAGGAGACTATACATATACAAATGTCTGAAATACCTTTGTAAGAGGCTGGAGTCCATACTAGGTATAGACCTGTGTCACGGATCTCCAGGCTCTCACCTCCGGACATGATTGAGCTTAACAGAATAAATCAAGATTGCAGCAAATCTAATTATAAAACACAAATTTAAAATATTGGATGAACTTAGTGTATAACTCTTAATGATTAAAGTAGAAATTAAACCGAGAAAAACAATAAAAATAAAGTAAAATAGTAATTTATAATGAATGTCTGAGTACGGATGGTGTGAATATGTGCGAATGTGAGTATGTGTAAGTAATTGTGTGTATGTATGTGTGTGTTTGTGTGTGTGTTTGTGTTGTCTTTTTTATTGTATATAAGTATATGTGTTTACACCTGTGATTAAATGACCCTGTACCACAAAAATATTTTGTACCACATTGCAGCAAATTTAAAAATATTATTATGCAATATTATATAAATATGTTTATTTTTGTGGAGCTATCTATTTGCTAAGGTTTATTGAAATCGGTTATCAGAAAGTGCGCGAAATCGGATTCATCTCCCAGTTATAGATGAAATATTTTCTTTAAATCGGACTTTATACTAAGGTACCCTCTTTCCAACAAAAAAGACTCCTCAAAATCGGTTCACAAATGCCACAGTAATCGCATAAGATACATACAAAAAAAAAAACAGTCGAATCGTGAACCTTCTCCTTTTTTTTAATTATTAAAAGACATGGAATAAAAGTTGTTGTGTAGGGTCCAAACACAAAACGAGATTTGAGAAACGTGATTGCGACGTCGCATCGCAGAAATCTACGAGCTCGCACGACGCATCGCAAGAATTTGCGAATTGCTTCGCAATCTTGCGACATTAATGTTTTTGTGTTTTTTTCCTGTATTTTCTTATCAATAATAGCAGTGCAACACTGTTTTTAGGATCCCTGTCGCTACCTAGTTTAAAAAATACGTTCAGTAACGTTGACGATCGTCGAAGGAATGATCATCAGCGTTGCGAATTCGCATCTCGCCGATTCGCAGTTTTGTGTTTCAACCCTTATGATGTTAGTTGTCTAGTCTTGAAGGTTGTTAGTATTTTAAAAATAATCCTGTACACAGTAAAGACGCTTGTCCACGCTAAGAAGAGTCGCCGGGTCTACGCAAAAATCCGGACAAGAAAAAAATCTTGTCTACCCCTGACACGACGCGCTCTGCCGCTGTTGTATAGGGCGGGATGAAGTGCATTGTCAGTAAACGTACGTTTGTGCGCGTGGAACCATATTTCTTCCCACAGTCGGTAGTAAACCGACAGCTACATGGAAGACTCGTATAGCAGTAGAGCTTCTTGTGAGAGAGTTCATTCAGGGTAGTACTGCCACCTTACCTATTTCTGCCGCCAAGCAGTAATGTCAGCATTACTGTGTTCCGGTTTTGAAGGGTGCTGGTGTAATTACAGGCACATGAGACTTGTCAACTTATGTCTCAGGGTAATGGGCGCAGTAGCACTGCCTGTTATGGACAGGCGTGTAGCTTAATCAGGCGCACGACTTGTCCGTCCCGTCACTTGATTTTATATAAAAAAAACCCTACGTACGTCCATCCGAAAGCATTCGTATCATGTACCTACATACTCATCATTTTCTCGTCTGCAACAGACACGACAAAGTTTTTGTCGCGTACAAGACCATTCTCATCTTTCCTGTAGCAGACAAGTCGAATTTCTTGGCGAGTACACGCGTCCTAATTGTACATGAAAAAACTACCAAACCATGATATTTGAAGTTCATTCTCTCTGCCTATCTCAGTATGAGGCGTGACAGTCTTGCTGCGCACGACTATTATGTAAAATGTCTTACATTTACCGTACTGGGGGCCTACTATGAGCTCTTAGAGCAATCCTATTTAAGCCCGTAAGTTGGATTGCCTGTCAAATTCGTACTATGACCTCACAAAAACAATTCACTGTCTATGCAGTTTACGTTCCCCTTTCGAAATCCGTTCACCTTTTCTTTCATAGCAAAATCGTATCATGACGTGCCATTTGCCATCAAATCTGTAAAAATAAGCAATTCAAAAAAGTTACTCCGTGACTAACTTTTTTTAGATTTTGTTACATTTAAAAAAGTTTCGTTTAAGTTTTATTATATTTTCAGTTTTATAATTATTTGTTATCTTTATAGGCTATATAGCCAATTGTCAATAAATAAATATTATTAACTATTGAACGTTTTTTGAAAATTTTAGTTCCGAGTTCCCAATTTTTAAAGTATTGTTGATAAATTATTGGCATGAATGTTATTGCAATTTTAAAATAGAATTTTAATAATTTTATTAACCGAAAATCGTAAAATAACTTTTAAATAGTGCCAAATTTAACTATAATTGCAATCAATGAAAATATACGAATACAAGATACGTTACAATTATGTTATCAAATCACAAACTCACCTTATTAATTTCAATGATAATGACTTAATATGACATGTAATTTTGTCGTACGACGAATTGTTAAGTACGATTGAAAAGTTGCCGATATTACAAAACAACGTAGTAAGTATAATCAAAAATAAAATTAATTTAAAAAAATAATTACTTTCTTTTTCAACACAATCGGTTAACAATGCTTGAACGCTCCCAGGATAGTACATCTGTGTATTTCTTTCATATGATTTAGTATGTAGTTCCATATCATGTCAGCTAGCCAGTCAGAGACAATAATTAACGTTTAAAAAGTGAAACTCATCCTGCCATGCCATTCCCGTTCAACTTTGTGTAGGTCATGATATGAATTAAAGCAATTCAGTTTTACCACGTCAAGTTAATTGCATGGACCTTGCTGGCTGTTTATAAGCTCATAGTAGGCCCCCTGAATCGGGTCTATTGCGCGGGTCGAGCGGTAGGGACACCGGCTTTATTTCAAAAGTTATTTTTTACAAACGAAACTAAAGCCATAAAGTATATCGTATACTATATACTTGATCCATTTAGTTCAGTTGATATAAAAAAAAATCATTGGTATATGTAAAGTAGGTACTTTTTACATTGGTATATGTCTCGTAGAGGACATATGGAGCTTAAAATAAACTCGTTAAGGTATTTTACAGGTTTAATTACTGGCTTAAGTACAATTTTGAATTTTATATGTTAAGGAAACCGAACAGAGCGAAGACCGAAAAATGAATGCAAAATTTTGTGCGGTAGTTATACAAAAAAAAACAAGCAGGCAAGTTAGCGCCTGGTGAATTAGTTGTAGCAATGACTTAATAACATATACAAATAAGCTCAAATGAGCTAGGCGCGAACATCATATGAAAACCGCTGTATTCAGTAGGTACTGAATACAGCGGTTTTCTTGTAAAATTTCGAGGTAAGTTTGGTTTTTCCTATCGCGAAATTTTTAAGGAATCGTGCTGTCACACCGTATAGTAATCAGAGTATAACCTCAATTTTATTATATAGTTTTTTCAAAGTGATTGATTCAACAATTTGACTATTATGCGGAATCAACAAAAGCCATTTGAGGTAGCATCGACTATTAATATTTTCAAGTTATGTTTACAACCTTTACGTACAACTAAAATGATAATATAACAACCCTTCGTTCCCAGCGAAATACAACCATACGGTACCGCCAACGCCTGGTACGGCCACTCATAGCAAACTTGTTCTTATCACCAATTAATGGTGTTTAAACAAAAAAATGTTCAGCTAAATAAGTTAAGGGACTGCGCAAGCTTAACTTTCTGATAGAAAACAAGACCACTTTAAACTGGTAGTCAAAATAAAATATTACGAATCGTAATACGTTTATTCATCATCGTTATCAAATGAACGTTATAAAGTACCTGGTATTTGCGGTCGGTATCACACAACTTCTGTCCGAGCACGGCGTAGTAAGGGTTATAGGTCTTTTCATTCAAACAGCAGGCTAACAGCACGTGTACAATTTCACGGTCCTGCTGCCCGCGCAGGCCCAGGTGTTGCAGCTTTTCGAACGCGTCCATGTAGTCCTGGAAATTTGCACACACAAATTATATCACGCACCTTTTCAAGGCGAGAGTGAATAGGCATTATTTAGGTGTGCATGCTATATCTTTGACCTTATTATTATTCATCTGGTGAGATGGAGGTCAAATGCAGTGCGCATTATATTTTATTTTTAATAAAATAAAAAATATATATACTATGTAACAAATTTTCAAAAAGGTTCTGTTTCAGGGGGTTCGGACCGGAGCGTAGTAATGCTGACATTACTGCTTGTCGGTATAAATAGGTACATGTGTATATGCATATGAATTAGATATTATCTAAATGTTATGGAAATTTAAATAAACCACGTAACTTACCTCAGCGCTCATGATAACACAAAACACGCCCCGTCTGACGTCAGTGTTCATTCTCTGTTTTCTTGCCAGTTCCAACAATTTCATGTCCATGTAAGGGACTGCTTTAACCGCTTCTTGCTTAGGTCGGTTACCCTCCCATGCGGAGCCTACTATCCACCATTTACCACGTTCTTCCGCTGGAAGTGCATAATGCTATAATATTAATGATAATTGATTGTTCTAAAAAAGCCTTATAAGTAGGTAAAGTACATTTATGTGAAAGTTAAGTCGATAATAAGCACTGCATGTTACATTTTTCAATTTTTTTTATGAAACTAAGTGACGGGACGAACAAGTCGTGCGCCTGGTGGAAAGCGACACGCCTGTCCACAACAGTTGCACTGCCACTCAGAGCTTTAAATCGCAAAAGATCTAAGGGGCACTGCCACTGCGCCCGTCACCCTGAGACATAAGTTGACAAGTCCCATGTGCCTGTAATTTCAACAGCACCCTTGAAAACTGGAACGTAGTAAAGCTGACATTACTGCTTGGCGGCAGAAATAGGTAATGTGGTAGACCCTTGACGAACTCTTTCATAAGGAGGTCTGGCGATGGGGCGAGTTATATTTTTTTCAATTTGAGCTACTCGAGTTGACGTGACTGGGTATAACAGAGCAACCGCGAGTCGCGAGTACAACTCGAACCGACGATTCACCGAGTTGGACACGACCACCGTGCCGATCGCGACTCGAGCGTGCTCCGAAGGTCGCCGAACTGAACGAGTGAGCACGAATTGCTGACGCGCTGTATGAATGAAGTGTTCGACTTGGCGGAAACCGAACCGAGCTAGCTCTAGTTCAAAAAAAGTAGCTCGAGTTGACTCGTTGTGGGAGTAACTTGAGTTAAATAACTCGACTCGCCCGTCGCTCGCGACTCGAGCGTGCTCCGAAGGTCACCGAACCGACCGAGATATTAAAAAAGTAACTCGAGTTGACTCGTCGTGGGAGTAACTCGAGTTAATCGAGTTAAATAGCTCGACTCGCCCATTGCTAAGGAGCGCTACTGATTGATACTTCTTGGGATCGAGTATTTCCTATGATTAGATATCTCAAGCATACATAAGACTGCAATACTACCCATTAATCAGTTTGATTTTATTACTAATTTCCGTTTGATTAATGGTTTAATATGATTTAAAAAATCATCAAGAAAAACCTCAGTCTACCGTGACCATGGGACCTGTAAAGGGCCCGAAACGTTGATTTGTTTGAAAGAACAAATATACGCGATTTAAATCCGGAAAAATAGTTTAACTTCCTATCCTTCATTTGATATAAAATGGGAACATTACCTTTTAACAAGTCCTCGAGTCGTATATTAAGCGGCGTTATGTAGTTGCCTTTCCGAATGATGGTTCTAATATGCTTTCGCAAATGCTCGCTATACGTCGGGTCGTAGTTAGGTATTTTTGCGAGATTGTTGTTCTTCACTGCTAAAAGCACTTCTAGGAGGAATTTTATTCGGGACCTGGAACGATATTTTTTTCATCTACCGCTAATGAACTTAACTGCACTTTAGTAGAGCTCCTTGTCAAAGAGTTCATCCAGTCAGGTAGAGCAATCTTACCAATTTCTGCCGCCAAGCAGTAATGTGAGCATTACTGCGTTCCGCGTTGGAAGGGTAAGGGGTGTTGGTGAAATTACAGGCACATGGGACTTGTCAACTTATGCTTCTGGGCGATTTAAAACTCTGAGTGGTACTCCAACTGCTATGGACAGGCGCACGATTTATTCGTCCCAACACTTGGTATATATTACCAAGTGTGCCTGGTGGCAAGCGACACGCCTGTTCTTAACAGTTTCAGTGCCACTCAGAGGTTTAAGTCGCAAAAATCTTAAAGGGACTGCCACTGCGCCCGTCACCCTGAGACATAAGTTGCCAGTAATTTCACCAGCACCCTTCAAAACCGGAATGCACTAATGCTCACATTACTGCTTGGGGGCAGAAATAGGTAAGGTGGCAGTACTTGCCTGGACAAACTCTTTCACAAGGAGGTTTATTGCTATTACTGGTACGTGATTGTCTAAAAATGCTACTCTTCTAGCCTTGAGTAGCCCCAAATTGTAGGTTTTGGGAAACCAGGGCTCGAAGTTATCAAGATATTTAGTTGATATGATAATTATCTGATAACTTACTCGATAATTATCAAGGCATATTTATCGAGAAACTTATCGAGATAATAAGATAAAGGTGGCCGTACGGTAACCATGCCCGACTGCCACGCAGAGATCCCGGGCCGGGAGAAATATTTGTATGGCCTACATTTATTTCTCTCGTGAGTTTGGGTGTAATTTGTGGTTGTCTATATGTGTGTCCATGGCACCCGCGACACAGGGTTTCCCTAGTACGGGCTATGGTGAGTGTGTGCGTTAATATTATTATTCTCTTCTTTTGCAATGCGCATTTAGAAGGAGGAAGCAAAGTGGAATATACGTATTCTATGCTAGCGTAAATGTAACTTACCCAGTGGCAGCATCCTCAGTAATTTTGGCAACCCTGCTCTGCGTGTCATGTATAAAATTCTTCAACGCCAATGGCTCCTCTTTACGTAAAACGCCACCTACATTGCGCAGCGCCACGAGAACGCAGTCTATGTTCTTTTCTGTAAGATCTTCTAGCAAACGGGATAGTATGTCGTAGAGTAGTGTGGCGTGGTAAATCTGAAGACCAATAAGTCATCGTTAATGTATATATTATAAGCTATAAAAGGGGTGGCGAGCGCCACCTCACCACCCTAACCCCCTCGTGGTGGCTGCATCCAATTATGACCCCCTTAGGGAACCCCCACCGCGTACGTAGGACCCGTCGGTCAAGGGAAGTCCTCAACGACTCTAACGACCCTATCACTCTCGCCACTTTGAAGGTCAACCAGATCGCAAATTAGTCTATCTCCACACGCACAACCGTCCTCGCCGGCGAGGTAGTAGAGCCCCTCACAGGTCGTACAGTAGTAAATCCTCAGGCGGAAGTCCTCAGTAGCGCACTGAGCCGAAGTCCGTGCCCACTTGGGCGCCCTCATTAAGTTTATTTTAATGGGTTAAGAGCCTTCAGCTCGCCCTCTTATTTTGTAGCGCAGTCAAGGTCATCAGCGGCCATTTGCAAAATGTCCTTCACAAAAAAAGCAAAAAAAAAGACGAGACACATTGCTGCCTGTACTTTCGTCACGTCAAACTTATTTTGTTTACTGTTCGTATGTATTATTGATTTTCTTAAAATTATGTTATTTGTACGTTGATATTGTTGTTTGCTCACTATATTCAAGTGTGAGAAACTTGTTTCATTGTTTATAAAATTTGTATAATTGACTAAACGTTACATTTAGTTCAAATTATTGGTTTTTTTAGGAATTAATTTTAAAATAGTTAAATATTATAAATACAACTTATCGAGTTCTTTTTTTTATATAATATCAAGTGAAGAGACGAATAACTCGTGCGCCTGATGTTAGATGCTTAGAGCTTTAATTCGCAAAGATCTGAGGGGCACTGCCACTGCGCCCGTCACCCTGAGACATAAGTAGAAAAGTCCCAATTGCCTGTAATTTCATCAGCATCCTTATCAAAGCCGGGACGCAATAATGCTGACATTACTGCCTGGTGGCAGAAATAGCGATAGATGATCAGACATATGCAAAACAATAAATTGCAACTTTTTTATAAAAAAGCAGACCTGAAAAGTTCCTGAAATTTCATCTATTTGCAAAGTTTTATTGAAATCGGTTACCGGAAAGTGCGCGAAACCGGGTTCATCCCCTAGTTGCCCACCTTTAGAGGTGGAATATTCCTCTCTTTCCAACAAAAAAATCATCAAGTTCGGTTCACGCACCACATGACAGCTAACATAGTATTACCTCAAGATGGCTTTAAATTATATTAATATTAACTATTTAGTTTCAAAGCGACAGTGTTGTCCTGTCACTTTGAAATTAAATCGTATATGAATGACACAAAATATAGCGGAATTTTGGAGATAAATTATTAATATAACGCAATTTTAAGATAAAATATGCTATAACGCAATTTTTAAGATAATACTATGTTAGTTGTCAAGTGCGACATATAACCGCGTAACATACACAAAAAAAGTACAGTCGAATTGAGAACCTCCTCCCTTTTTCGAAGTCGATTAAAAATCTAGATTTACCTTGAAAGTATAAAGATGTGCCAAACAACAAACGATATTATCTAAGGTCTTATCCTCCACTGGCTGTGGAGTCTGCATCATGGTGTCGAACTTTTTCGTCAGCTCTTGTAGAAAATAAGCACCTAGCAACAAAAAAATTAAGTTCCAGTAAAATGATACGTGCCGAACAGTGAACTGCGTATACAACATTAAGGGGTCTACAGACCGAACCCGCCGACCCGGCGACACAGTTTTGCGGTTTGGTGTCGGCGGCCTTATTTGTAATCTTCCCATGATATGATTCAAGAATCAAGGCCCATCACACCATCCTGCCCGGGTCTGCGGGCTCGGTCTGTAGCAGACCACTATACTATGAGCAAAAGGGTTGGCAACTTACAAGCAGCTAGTAATTGCACTCGATTATTCTATCGACTAAATATTAATTACGCAATAAATGAGGCAATTAGTTTAATTTCAACAAATTAAGAGTCGTAAAAAACCTAAAATTGCTTTTTTTTAATACCTAGTGACGGGACGAACAAGTCGTGCGCCTGATGGTAAGCTACACGCGTATCGATAACAGTTGCAGTGCCACTCAGAGCTTTAAATCGCAAAAAGGTCGGAGGGGTACTGCCACTGCGCCCGTCACCCTGAGACAAGTTGTCAAGTCTCATGTGCCTGTAATTTCATCAGCACCTTTACCCTTCCAAACCGGAACGCAGTGATGCTCACATTATTGCGGCAGAAATAGGTAAGGTGGCAGTACTACCCTGGACGAACTCTTTCACAAGTAACTCTACTGCTACTTTTTTAACAAAAATAGACATCATCTTATCGTATCTCTGTAGTTTACGAATTGATTTGGATACCACTGGGCCAACTGTCGAAATAAGACGTCATTAGGGTTACTTTACTATTAATGCGTTTCTGCAAAATTTTATTTATTAGACTGACTGTTTACAATTTTACAAAAAGTGGCAACCCTGCAAACATTTGAAAAAAAAACCGGTATGTGGAAGTTTAGATCACGCAAGGAATTTAAAAATGGAGTCAAAAGCAATCGATTCTTTTTCATACATGAATATGTATCATGCGTCTCACCGGGGTAAGCAGAGACTCTCTCGCCTCCTCCACTAGCAGCAGTTTCTTTATATATTCCCCTTTATTATTCTTACTTCTATGACTACTTCTAAGTGTAAACGGCGAGAGAAGGCCGTGTAATAGATGACAAAATAAAAGTGGTAACCCTGTCACTAGTCTTTGATTTTTTTTTTTGTTGTAAATAATTATTATGTTTTCCACTGAAAGACTGAATCCAAGTCATACAATTAATTTAAAAAAATTGGTGCTTGTTTACAATCTTTTCATGGCTGTATTACCTATGTCCATAGCCACGTTTGCGTGCAAAACAGCGACCAAAGCCGCATGTTCGGCGACCATTCGATCCGGTGTACCGGCCACAGCAACAGTCGCGTCCAGCCACAGTTGCGTGAGCGCTGTGTTCACAGAGTTACGGCTGTTATTTGAGTAGAGATTCTCTAACGACGTGCATGCCCAATGGAGGTTCGTGCCAGCTAATTTGTTCAAGATGCCTGGAAAATAGAGACATTCCTTAAGAATCGGTACCACCTCAGCACGAATACAAATTTCTCTCGTACTTATACGGTTCATTTTGCTTGTGTCGAGTGGCAGTGACACTGGCTTTATTTCAGAATTTATTTTATTTATTTATTCGAAATATATATCGTAGAGTATACGTGTTCTATTTAGTTCAGTTCATATAAAAAAATCGTTGGTATATGTAAAATACATACAGATATTGAATACAGCGGCTTTCTTGTAAAGTTTCGAGGTAACTTTGTGTTATCGTGAAAATTTTTAGGAATTGTGTTTTCACACCAGTGTATACAGGGTGTAACAGCAAGGTGTAGTCATATTTGAAGGTCGGATTCAGTTAATGGTATGAAACTATTTAGCAAAGTTGTTTTAGTACAAACTACGTTATTTATGGAAATTTCGCCATGAACAGTTTCGATCAGCTGATGTCATTTAACGAAAATAAATAGTCACATCACATCTCTATTGAGTATCATAATACAACCAAATTACGTAACTTGAAAAAATTGTGAAATTCAGGCATGTTATTGTAAATGATAAAGTACTTAATGCCATATTCTTATTACTATGTTATAATTTACTAAATTTATTATTATTTTATTCATGTAATATGCGTGTGAACATTTAATGAAAAATAAATATTATCGATTACTTTGCCAAAATACACTAGTTCATAATAAAACTATTATTTAAAACTTAGTACATAATAACGTAATATGGTTTCGTTAACTTCATATCTTCAAACATACAAAATACACAAATTTCCATTTAATATCCATTAATAAAACTAATGTCCTCTAAAAAACACATATTTAAAGTTATCTCTGTTTCTTTTTACCATACGCATTCATCTATTGTATTTTAATGAATGAAATTTGTCTCTTTCTATCCGTCGGTACTGTTCTAACGCATGGCGGCGTCGGTATGTTTCTTCTAACGCATGACGCAATATGACGCAATTATCCGACTAATACTTCGCACCCTTACAATGAAAGCGACCCAAATCAAAAAATTAAAAAATGAGTTTATACCGTAAAACCATCTTAAAAAAATATTTTGTTACATTAGTCACACTGTGGTGAAGATGAAATTGTGCAATTAAAGCTCGAATAGCACTGATTCATAAAGGTCCCTTTCATTTTGTTCTTTCAGTTTAAAAATTCTACTCCCGCGTCGAAATATTAACGCCGCATTTATTGTTGAATCTGCATTTGCAAAGACAACACGCTGCCACTGACGGATTAGCATTTGAGCCATTTTCGTTCCGAAAATCATATTCAAAAATCACTAGTAGCAGTAGAGCTCCTTGTGAGTTCGTCCAGGGTAGTACTGCCACATTACCGTGTTACAGTTTTGAAGGGTAAGGGTGCTGGTGAAATTACAGGCACATGGGACTTGTCAACTATGTCTCAGAGAGATGGACGCCGTAGCAGTAGCCTTCGAGCGGCAGTGCTACTGTTATGGACAGGCGTGACGCTTTCCACCGGGTACACGACTTGTTCGACCCGTCGCTTAATATTTAAAAAAAAAAAATTTTTTAGTAACTTACTTTTTAAAGGGACTTACTACGTGGACTTTCTTCTTTTTTAATTGTGAAACAGGGACCACAAAACAATATCAAGGGTTATGACATCTTGCTTAGCTGATGAACATTAAAAAGACTTAATTCTTAATACGTTAAATGATAACAAAAAATCGTTAAAAAAAAGACCTATTGGCGACTAGTTTTTGTAAATTATGTTTTTAAATTGTTGAACATTAAAATGATCAGAAACAATTTTCAGTTGTAAAGTTCCATTTTTCCTCATTATTTTCAAAGACTAATAAGGCCATCACCTTTAGTACTTCAAGAGTAGGTAATAAATAAAATAATATGAAAATATGAAAAAACTTGAAATCTTATTTTCTTTTTTATTCCCAAAAAGTTGAAATTTTGTATTGGGACACTTTCATCGTAAAGGTGCAACCTGAAGGTCGGTAAACGTCAAGAAATTAGTTTTGATCGTTGACCACGAATTAATTATTGTAATTTTAATTTAATTTAATTTTTTTTTTATGATTGATTTAGTGTCTGTTTAAGTATATCTAAATGTTTTAAAATGAATGTTGAGCACAGTAATAATTGGGCACAGATATGCCTGTTGTATTAATTTTTAAGTGTTTTTATTTTCCTCACTTTCTGTATCTGATGTCTGTACATTGTGCCATAAATAAAAAATAAAAAATAAAAATAAAATAAATTTTCATCACTTGCTTGGAAATGAAAATATCGCGAGAAAACTTGGATTTCGGAGATAATTGCCGAAATCTTCAAAGATGCGAGAATGTCAAGTTTCCAACCAGTACTTACTATGCAAGTGCAGTGGACTAAACCTTGTGCAAAAAATAGTACTTTACTAACTTACATACGTCTATTGCTGAGCGCACGTTTCTAACAACAGGCTTACGCTTAATTTGACTTATCTACACACGACAACTTTCTGGGTATGGGTTTATTACATGGTGAAATTGAAATAATTAATATCCGTTGAACCTATTAAGGTTCTTACTTCCTAATAATATCTACTCATCTAAAGAAATATTTTAGAATAGTTTAAATTAGCAATAGTGTAAAACCATAAAAAATCTTACCTAAATAAACAAAGTATCAAGATTAGTCGCCTTGCGTACGCGATACGTAATCGTAGCGAAGTCGCAAGCCTTTGGCGGCAACTTTGGCGGCAAAAATATCACCTTTGATTTTCGCCGCCAGCATTTGATTTTATACATGGTGATGTGGATTAGTGGTTAATGTTAGACTCGTTTCGGAGGTCGTGGATTCGATTCTCATAGTTGACTGGCTCTATGGGGTAGTTGTTAGAGTGTTAGGTTTTCTTTGCGGATGTCGTAGATTTGATTCCCATAGTCGACTGCCTCCATAGTCTAGTGGTTAGAGCGTTAGGCTTTCTTTTCGAAAGTCGTGGATTTGATTCCCATAGTCGACTGCCTCTATGGTGTAGTGGTTAGAGTGTTAGGCTTTCGTTTCGGCGGTTGTGGATTTGATTCCCATAGTCGACTGCCTCCATGGTGTAGTGGTTAGTGTTAGGCTTTGTTTTCGGAGGTCGTGGATTTGATTCCTATAGTCGACTGCCTCCATGGTGTAGTGGTTAGAGTGTTAGGCTTTCGTTTCGGAGGTCGTGGATTTGATTCCTATAGTCGACTGCCTCCATGGTGTAGTGGTTAGTGTGTTAGGCTTTCGTTTCGGACGTCGTGAGTTTCCGATGGGTGACTGCCTCCTTAGTGCAGTATATCCGTAATCACTCAGTCAGTTCTTGCATTATGTGGAAGTGGTACGGGTGATGGTCAGAGCTTGTTTACAAACAAAGGCGTATGCAGTGCAACGTTGAAGGTCGTAGACGTAGGATATAGGTATTCGTTTAATGTGTATGTAATGATGTAATTTGTATCAGGAGAAGGGTCTTATTTCAAAAGGATGGTAATAATTTTAATTTCACCCTGTAGGTACATTATGAAAACGTTACCCTATATTCCAAAATTTGCGTTTCAGTCGGCGTCCTTTGATGTGCCGCCGCTGAGGCAGAGGTGCTATTTTTTAATTTTTTGTAACAGTCTGTAATTGCCGTTTGCGTTGTGAGGACTAAATAGGTGTCATCGTTTTGTTTGTGTCTTGTTTTTGTGTTTATTTAAACTATGTCACGCTTAAGCAATAGTGATTACTAAGAGATGATGTTGTGCGTAGGCGCAGCCGATGGGAGCTTGCGCCAGCCTCGCCAAATTTATTGGGCAAAGTTTATTGATGGCGTCCCAGAAAATCGACGTCGACCATTTCCTGCTGTGGAATGCTTCAGGAAGATGGTTATGAGACTTCATAATAGTGGATCGTTCCGTGGTTCCAGTTCTGAAGGCCGGCCGAGTTCACGAGACCCAGAATTCGAGGCAGATGTTTTGGAACATTTTCTCGGCAATCCAAAGACAAGTACTCGTAGTGCTGCGGCAGCCTTTGGTGGTGTGAACCATATGAGTGTGTGGCGTGTGCTACGGGATGATGGCCAGCACCCATACCATTTTCAAAGAACGCAGGAGCTGTTACAAGCGGACTATGATCTACGTTTGGCATTTTGCCGCTGGTACCGCGACCAGGTTGGGAGGTCTCCCGACTTCGCTTCGTCGGTACTGTGGACAGACGAGGCGTCATTTACGCGTGCGGGCATTATCAATATGCATAATGAACATTTTTGGACTCATTTGAATCCCCGCGTATCAAGGGAATCAAATTTTCAACACCAGTGGCGGATTAACGTGTGGGCTGGTATAATAGGTTGTGCCGTCATCGGTCCAGTGTTTTTGCCGGCAAGTCTGAATGGGGCCAATTATTTAAGATTCCTAACAGAAGACTTGGGTGACGTTCTGATGGCCCTGCCAGTGACACAATACGTGAGACTCGTGATGGAACACGGGATGACTTTCTAGCACGATGGAGCACCCGCACATTTTGCTCGAAATGTACGTTCCCATCTGAACGACCGTCTCCCGCAGTGGATTGGGCGGGGAGGTCCTGTACCCTGGCCAGCGTGGTCTCCAGACTTGACACCGCTCGATTTTTTTTGTGGGGTCATATAAAAATATTGTTTATGCGGAGTCCTGTGAAAGCGCAGAAGAAATGAGGCAGCGGATCGAAATGGCGTTTAGTCAAATCACTCGGCAGATGCTTCAAAGAGTAGAGCAGTCTCTGTACCGACGCACGGAAATATGCATATTGCACGGAGGTCGGCATTTTGAACCTTACCTGTAAATGTGTGAAATGTGCCAGCAGTGCGTGTAGTGATTGTACTTATTATTCAAAATTATCGTAAACAAGTCAATATTTCGTACATTGTACAACAGTGAATTACAATTCGTAGGAAATTCATTAAAACGTGTATGAATTGCACAGTAGGTAAGTACCAATTAAAAAAGTATCCACTATTGTAAAATTGTCGTAAATAAATGTATTAATACAAAATTATGTAGAATGTGTATACGATGAAGGCGTGCATAACTACGGGCTTAATAAG